AGATGTGTATAAGAGACAGCAACAAACTTTTACGTGTCATTTCTCGCTTATGACGTCACGAGTCCAATGGAGACTAGGCAGGGGTACGTCTTAAGAGAAATTTAAAAAAGGTGTGCTTTTCCACAAAATCTCGCCTTCTATACTTATGCTCTGCTCACGTATTATTTCACGACGAATTGAGATAATTGAGAAACAAAATTTCATTTGACACAGAAATTTTTATTGAATGTTACATAGTTGAAGATATATATTATATAAGATGCCGTATCACTACAAAAATAAAATTTTAATGACGTATATATTTATTTTATGCAAATTAATGCAAACTAGTATGGTATTAATGTCAAACTAAAAATTATTGTCAAACGGTAGGAGATATATTAAATAAGAAAGAAATCAAGTAGAAATATTTACGTAAAATATTAATGTTCTCGGTTGCACAACAAACAATATCTGGACGTTATAATTCATGATCTTCTATTTATTAACTAAGTGTATGTTAAGTTCACATTTGAATAGATTATGAATAGACATTTAACACAAGAGCAAAAGCTTTCTTAGCGAAGAGTAATTTATACGTTATTTCCAGCATTTATAAAATGCTCAAATATAAAATAACTTGTCTCACTTGTTACATAATAGAAGATGATTATTAATCTAGAATTCTCATCGCCTTCTGTGACTTCTTTTCCTGATTCTATAAAAAAAAAATAGAAAAATGTGAAATATGAATAGACATATGTAATTGAATATTGAATTAGTTTAAAGATTCAAGTAATTACTAGTAATACTTACTTCTTTGGTCCTTTTACAAAGCACCAATCGACAGAGATAGCCTGACCTAGGATTTCTGTTCCGTTCAGAGCCTCCTTCGCAGCCTGTGCCTCTTTAAACGTTTCGTACTCCACTAACGCGTAGCCTTTCAGAAATCCCGTTCTTCTGTCCAGATTCAAATGCAAGTTCTTGATTTGACCAAACTCTGAGAACTTATCCTGAATATCGTCCTCCTGTGCCTCTTCATGTACTGAATTTATGAACAAGATCCATCCTTCTACAGCTGAAAATGAAGAAGCTCAATTAGATGCATAACTGTACACAAATAAAATTAATAAAAAAAATCCCTGTAATTCAAATCGATTCAAACAAAGTTCCAACAAAGACATTCTCTTACATCTCTGTGGGCCAGGCTCGTTGTCGTCTTCCTCAACCACATTCATGGACTCGTAATGACCGACGTCGTCTCTCGTCGACACCAATTCCGCACCATGGCCCCTGCCTTTCCTTTTCTTCGCTTTCTCCTTAAGACGTGCGATACCCTCTGAAAGCACGCCAAAACAATTGAAACAATTTTTTTACACCCACGCAATAGTGATTATGATCTGAGTACTATTGCCATCTCTTCCCCACGTTTCTCGTCTTAACGATTTCAGACAAGATCGATGCTTGCACCTCGTCAATATTATATTCAACAATTGCACGCTATTCCAAAAATTCACATGGTGTGCTCAGCTGATTAGGGGACACAAATATACAAAGGTGAGATGAAGAAAAATGATCGAACTCAGTACGAAGTTGAGGTTACGTGCTAAAATCGACGCTCGCAATGTAACGAAGAAACGGAAGACTTACGATCTCCTTCCTCATCGACCTCAAATTCCTCGGCATTATCGATGTCCAAAACATCCGCCATGGCTGGAGTTGCAGTACTTCAGTAACGAGTAAGAAATATTAAAATTTCTTTTATGATATCGCGCTTATCAGTTATTATGCGTCGCCGAAACCGTCCATCGTCGCACTTGATTGCCATAAGCAACGTGAATTACAGAAGAAATCTTTCTGGTAGAAAAGGACGATCTCAGCGCCACTGAATGTTCCGGGCGCAATGGTGAACTAGACAAACTATAGTGGCAACCAAATTTAAATTTTCGATCGTTTACGCTACTTTATACTCACCGCGCTTTCCGATAAATTAAAAAATATATCAAGGGAATATAAACAGGTAAAAAGAAAGAAAATTAAAACTACAGACAATTGCTAACAAATCTAATATATATCTAATATATTTATTATTCTGTTTAAAAGCCTGAATACTTAATTATTGTTATTCTTTCGCAAACTGTAAAGAATGCTCTAAGCATTTACTAATTGTTTCTTTTAATATCTAAATTGATTTAACTATATAAAAACTAAAAATGATTACATATACATAATGTGTATATAATATATAAATTCGTAAAATATATAAAAAGTATACGATTTCTCTCTATGATTATAGAAAGAAACTTTATAAATTGACTGCACACATATTTCATATTCTAAAAATATTAATTGTAAGTAATTCCTCTTTATGTTGATGCACGAAGAGAAATTCATATATAAATTAGCTTCTTATTTGATACTTTCTTTGATATTTCTGAAAATATAAGTCAGTTTCTATATTTTTTAAGTGAAAATTATAAAATATATTTTACAATTCTACCAATTATAGCTTTGTTATAATAAATGCATCATAACTTTTGTCTGCATAATAATTGTAGTGAAAAAAAAGATTTTTTATAAATAAATATATATATATATATATAAGATAATATTATATTATGTATATAATACAATATAATATATATACTATTATACATTAATTAAATTACAATACATGTATATATACATATATATATTATATATATATATATATATAAATATTATACATAAAATATGTTGTCTTTTTCTTGTACAATCCCTGTTTGTATATAGAAAAATAATTAGAAGAATTATTTTCGCATTGTTTATCTTTTATCAAATAAAATTGTTTATTTTTTTTATTAAATAAATGATATTTCTTTAAGAAAACAAAATTGCTCATATATAAATAATGTATACGTGTAATAGATACGTGTAATAATGAAAATGTATACGTGTATAATTAAGATATTCGTATACAAATTATAATGTAATCAAAATGTTTGTAAAAAAAATAATATTAATAAATTATTTTTCCTATGTATTACGGACGGAGATTAATTATACAAGAGAAAAAAAACATTTGATATATTATAATATATCTAATGTAATATAAATAAACTTTTTTACTGATTGTAAGTTGTTATAATGCGGTTGTATATAATATCGTCACCATTATTTCATAATTTTGTTATAATGATTATTATAACAAACTTATAACAATTTCGTTGTAACAATATCGTTATAACAATTTCGTTGTAGTATACATAAAAGAGTATACTAAATAATAAAATGATAAAATTTAATTTCTAAAATTCAGACTTCATGAATAGGACGTAATTTGCATTTTGTCACTTTTCTTTCTTTAGTGGCTGCGAGCCACCGGCAACGAACACGACGTAAACTGCAAATAAATAAAAAATAAAAGAGTCATAATTTATTTCATTATCTGCTTTGTAAATGTTATTATTAATTATTATTATTATTAAAATATTTGAATATTTTTAATCGCAATTAGAATACATTTGATGAATATCTTTAATAACTAATTTATTATGCGCGCGAGATAGAAAAAAGTAACGATCATAACGAAAACAGTAACAGCGTTAGTAAGTAGCGTGTTACTTTCCAACTCTGCTTAATTACTATAAAAATAAATTTGAAGTTAAATGAAAAACGCGATGTTTCTCCTTGAAATTTATTTTATTACGTTTATCTTTTCACACTGTTGCTATAACTGAACGTCGGAGACGATAATTGACGATAATTGAATCTTTTTGCTAAAGAAGAAGATTAACGAATTTGTCAGATAATTATAATTAAAAAATTAAGATAGTAAATTAATTACAAGATATTTTATATCATACAGTGTATAATAGTGTATTGACATTTAATTATTCCTATACGAGTGATTCAGGTCATTTGGAGGACCTGGCATGTATTCCTTATAAAAAAGTGAATAAAAAATGTCAATAACAAAATGTTAAGTTGTGATATCAATAGTTTCTAAATGGTGAACTATTAAAATTGTCTAACCATACATGGAAAAAACGATTTTGTTGAAAGGTCTAAAAATTTTGCCGAATACAGATCTGAAAATAATTTTTTGTTGAATCATCAAAATAATTTTTTGGAATGTTAAAACTGATAAACATTGCTATAAAACGTTTTGATATTCTAGCAATCATTTTCACTTTCGCATAAAATTATTTTGATTTTTGAACAAAAATTATTTTCAGATCCAGATCCAGCAAAATTGTTCTTTCATGTAGGGCGTAAAGTTTGCGCCGCTGCGGCGCAATCAAGCGGACGGCCAGCGGATATTATAATATCACTAAACGTGAAATCTTTATTAACATCTATTGCTCTATTCTTAAATTGAGTCCAATTCAAATGCTGTCGAATTTGCAATTGACATTACTTCTCGTCAATTCAATTGGACTCAATAATTTAAGAGTAGATGTTAATAGAGATTTCACGAAATCTTTGCAACATGTTCGGCACCGTGCCGATTAGTGGTATAATACCCGCCGGGGCCGTCCGCTTAATTGATTACGCCTGAACAGCGTGAACTTTATGGCCTATGGTTGGACAGTTTCAATAGCTCGACCATTTACAAACTATTAACATCACAACATTTTGCTATTGACATTTTCGATTTACTTTTTCATGAGAAATACGCATTAAACATGCCGGTTTCTCCGGGTGATCTGGACAGAAAAGTAAAAGTGAAAAATTAAATAGTGTAATTATTTACACGTACGCTTCAAACTCGTTCTGCAATATCTCTCCCAGATACATCACAAAACGAACATAAAGAGCAAATATGATGATGAAGACAGCCAAGTTAGCGAGAGATTCGATAAATGTGCGTCCGAATATTACTAATTTTATTAAAGTATAGAATAGAAAGAGCATAAACAAGTTGTATACTACAATACAGAGTACTACGAGAAAAGCACAGCAGACTCTTTGAGATATAGCACACAATTCTTCGCTATTTCTGTATATCTGTCAAAAAATTAATTTACATCATATACACATCATATATACAGCGTAACATATTCCAACAAAATCATTAAAAATTTATTTGACAATTAAAATCGAGCGTTTAAATTCTTAAGATATAATTGTTGAAATTAAACATCCCATCACGATTCTATTCGTTCTCTTTACACTCTCTATATTGTTTTCTTACGCTCATTAGATACGTTATAATTATAAATAGTTTATCAAATTGAATACGGTCATGATAAATTGTAAACTGCTTATTTATAAACTTATATTAAAAATGCTTATTAGAAAAATATCTTATACATGTCTCTGTTATTAGGTTTTATTATTCTGATATATGTATTATATATTTATATTACAATAGTTTATGAGGGCTTTGGATACATATGTGATATTGACTTGTACTTTTTTTTACTTCATATAACATATATCCATTTCTTACAAGACACATTCTTTTAGTTATAAAATAATAATCTATCTCGTGATAGAGAAATTCTTTTGCTCTTAATTCTTTCCAAAAAATTGATTTTATTTTCGACAAACATTTATATTTTGAGATTCAACCCCTTCATGTAACTTACCTGTGCTAATGATTTGTACTTTAATTCTAATGGAAAGGAAACCTCACAATGCATGCAAGAATATCGTTTTCGGACGTTTGCTGCAATCTCTAAACAACGAATATGCATAAATTCCCAGTCACCGGTGCATTGACATGGACGTATGAGTTTTTCCTTACTCGCATCTAGCATAAGCAAATTTACATACATTTTATTAGCAATACTTGACAAATAATAATTGCATATGCAATACACGCACTTTTGATAAAAGTTTCACATCGTTAGAATTCTCTTTTCAATATCGCAGAGATATATAATATTAGGAATTATAAGTGTCTCATGCCGCGGAACCTATGTCTTTAACTACAGTGTAAAGCTACGACTTGAATCGAGAATGCAGCCTTATCAAAAGCCTCAACATAAAGTTTCGTGGATGTCTTTTTTTTTTATTTTATAGAGAATATGCGTACCTTCGTTGCAACGTCGGCATGTAGGCTTAAAGGCAATTTCTGTTTCTGTCGAATGAGAGATCGTCAATTCTATGTTACAATCCAAATTGTCTCTTTCGTATTCTTCTATTTCTGATCCCATGTTAGAGTCCAAATTGTCCATTTTGTACTGTTCCATTTCTGATTTCATTTCTACTTTAATTTATTGAACAATAAAATTTATTATTGAACACGCAGTGCATATTAATGCGAAAAATCTCACTCTTTACGTCGTCACAATATGATCAAAATGGCACTGCTATCGCTGACATTGAGAGAAAATATTTTGATGTACTAAAATGTAAACGGTTAAAATAACAAGTTGCTTGAAATATTGATAAATAATAATTTGTCTTACATTAGAATATTCGATTGTATATATGTATATATCATTTTTCTAATTTGTAATAGAATGATGATTAGAAGTGGATATGCTGTAATGTAAAATATAGGAATTATAACGAAATTGAGAAATGTAAATGTTAAATATAAGAGTAGGTATAGAAAAAATATTTAAAAGCAAAAATTTTGTAGTAGAATGAAGAATTAGAAGTTTGATACGTATAACGCAAAATATATAGGAATGAAAAATTGAAATATGTAAATGTGAGATGTAACAGAGTAGGTACAGAAAAGTATTTAAAATGTAAAGGATGGTGTAAGATAAAATAGAAAAGTGAGAAGATAAACGTATAGAAAAGAGTTCGAAGTCTTTGGCTAAGGAACGCTGGAGGGGACGAGGAGGGACGACTTAGTTGGCTAAGATAGGAAATTTTGAGAATATAGAACAAATAAGGATAGGGATAGGAAAGCTAGTATAAGCACGATGATTTTGGTAGGTGAATGATTTAGACTTTAAAGGCCAAAACAGAAGGAATGGATGGATGAGTGTGGATAAGAAAATTGTAAACCAATTAGTCCCTTCTATGGCTATATTGTATAAGCTAGAAGTAATAAAGATTCTTCTTCATTCTTCTATATCATTTTTCTTAAGTTTTGAATTTATTTGATTTTGTTATCGATTTCGTTATAAATTTCGATCTCCGGTTACTTTCACACTTCACTTGTCACATGGCCCTCATCTAAAAAAAAACGCTAAAAATTCAAAATTCTCGTTCACAGATGTCAAACTTAAATTAAAATCCCTCATGTTTAACAAATAAAAACATATATTGTGTAATGCAACAGATAAAATGACTCCTCCATTGAACAGATATTTATTTGATGTAATATGAAGAAATTGTCAAGGTAATTGTTCTTAATTTTGTAAAATAAGAATTTACCTCTATTCGCCACGTCTACTATAGAAAAATATTATGTATTACTTATCGTAATTATTCATTTTACAAAAATCAACCCCGATAAATTTCAATAAATTACATAATTGATTTTTGTAAAACTGGAATCGAGCATTAATTTCGGAATAAATTTTCGCAGCTTATTCTAAACTTTCTTCTTGCAGACGAAAGTCTTACTTTCGCCGGAAATGGCAGCGGTACCAATAATAAAGTGTACATCGAAAGAGCAATTGGCCGGCATGAAATTGACAGATGAGAAGAACGATGAAAAATTGGAGAAGAAATTGACAGTGCTCGAATCACACGGTTACACTCTCGGGAAGACTATAGGCGCGGGAACATATGCCACCGTCAAAGTGATCATCTGTTCCACTCCCTTGTCTTTTCCTCTACTTCTTGATGTCATCATCTTTCATTCTTTTTTTATTTTAAACAATTACGTGCTCACAAAGATCGCGAAGTCCGATCGACACAATTGCCAAGTGGCGGTGAAGATAGTCTCGAAGTTCCAGGCGCCCGGAGAACACCTCACGAAATTTCTACCTCGCGAGATCGAGGTGGTTAAAGGATTAAAACATCCGAATCTCATTCACTTTCTGCAGGCGATAGAAACCACACATCGGTTGGTTTACCGTCTTTTTTATCTTCTAGATTAATTCTCGAATAGCATCTCGTAAGCAGATCGGTGTAGGAATAGGTATAAGAAACGATTGAAACGGGAATTCATTCCATGAAATTGAATTTTCGTTATATGAATGCTTGTAAATTTCTTCCACAAACTTGCTTGCGTTTTCCAGGGTGTACATTATTATGGAATACGCGCAGAACGGCAGCTTACTTGATATTATACGACGCTATACTTATATTGACGAGTTGCGTAGCCGCAGGTGGTTCCGGCAGCTTCTGGACGCCATCGATTACTGCCACGAGCACGGCATAGTGCACAGGTAAAGAGAAATACAATTGTCGCAAGTGAAAAATAAAAATTTTTAACCATATTGAAAGACCCTCTCGGAGAGAATATTGCATCTGAAGTAAAAAGATCGTTGCAAGTTAATGTTTCTGAACATCGATTATTAAAATTGATCTTGTCGAGAGAATATGTCGCAATAATTTCAATATAATTCTCCGTTGAAAACTCTCTCACAGAGATGTAAAGTGCGAGAATCTGCTCATGGATCGTAACTTCAATATTAAATTGTCCGACTTCGGATTCGCGCGTGGACAAATGAAACAGACGAAGGGGGGCCAGTGGCCCCTCAGTACGACTTATTGCGGCAGTTACGCTTACGCGTCGCCCGAAATTCTGCGGGGCATCCCTTACCAGCCTCAACTCTCCGACATCTGGTCCATGGGCGTGGTGCTTCATGCTATGGTTTACGGTCGGCTGCCGTTTGATGATACGAATTACATGCGACTGCTAAAGGTACCCAGGTATATGCCAAGACCGGTATACCCAATGTATACTCGAGTCGATTCCAATCTTTCACATATTCTTCCTCCACATACAGTTGTAAACTTTTTTTTTAGGTCGACAAGTCACCAAAAAAATCTACATGTTGATATTATAAAATATAAGTAGAATAATTTTGTTGAACGTAAAAATAAATACCAATTAAAAGATTCGATCATTATTTTTTTACATATATTCCTTTTGTGAATGATTACAGCGTTTCACACTGCCATTTTCTTCTAATGCAATTCGTTCCTTTCTTTCCTCAGCAAGTACAAAACAGAGTGGTGTTTCCTAAACGTCCTAAAGTCTCTCAGTCATGTCGTTCTCTCATTGCCCGTATATTAGTACCACAATTCGCACGATTGCGCATCAATAATATAAAAAGCGACGCTTGGCTCGAGACGTCTGTTGTCGCTCAAACGTCAATAAACGACAGTTTTAGCGTAAGAATTAATCGATGCAGACAAGTTGTTACGTTTATCCGAAAAATTGCTTTATCATATCTGTTATGTTGCAGGAAGTACTGCCTACAACACCTGCAACTAAAAAATCCGAAGATGAGTGTGCAGTAACAGTTACTCCTGCGACTTTTCAAGAGAATGAGAAATCAAAAGATGCTATCCAAGATAACACGGAGAACAGGAAGACTGACTTAAACGCAAAATTATAAGGTTCGTATAATATCGCAAAGCAATATTGTAAAATAAAGTTATTGAATAAAGTATTAAATGATTAACGAACTAAAAAAAAGATGTGCATAAAGAAAGAAACTTTAATTTCGAAATAACTCTTATTAATAAATTATATATGACACAATCTGGTAACTATTTTATGATATCATGGCACTTTTTATTCTTGACTCTTTTTTTCAATTCATAAATATTATTATAATACATAAATAAAGCTGAAGCAACATACTTAATGGTGAACATATTTCCAGTTGCATTAATAAGCAGATTCTGCTTAAATGCAATATGCATGTACACAGTACTGCACAAACTCACATCACAAAGTAGATCTATACTTAGCAACCATAAGTAATATTATGGTACCAATTATAAATACACCGGGCGCAGTAGCTTTATGTATATCCTCCATATCGTCTGTAACAGAAGTATCTGCAATTAAAATTTACTAGCAATGACAAAATTTCACTGATAAGATTCACTGCTAACAGCTTACCACTTGTTTCGGGGAGCGGTTCCCAACCCAAACTTTTGTCAATACCCGTTTTCCATTGAGAATATAAAATATCGCGTTCTAAAAATTTAACACATTAGACAAAGTCAATTAATCTCTCCGTACAGTGCTACAAAAAATTTTTATATTTGTAACAAAGACTGACTCATTATGAGATAATCACCATTCTCAGTTATTGATGGTAGAAAAATATCGCTGGGAACAGCAGCGTCAATCTTCACATCCCACTTCCGTATTCCTTCCGCGCTACCAGCAGCAATTGCGACTCCGAGTGCAGTAGTTTCACACATCAATGGTCTAACTTTCGTATAAAATTATATATGTGCTACTTTAGTAACTTCCAATTCAATAGTACGTATCGATTGTGTTTGAAAAAATATTCTACCTACCCACTGGAATCCCACAAATATCAGCTTGCATTTGCATCAACAAATCGTTACTAGTCATTGCACCGTCAACCAACAGCTTCGATAACACCAAACCAGTATCCTCCTTCATAGCTTCCAAAATGTCGCGCGTCTGAAAGCACACCGCTTGCAGGGCTGCCTTCACAATATGTGCGCTGTTAGTGTCTTCGCTAATACCACATATGACACTGAAAACAATTCACTTGTACTTGGATATTGGTTTGCGAAGCAATCGAATGTTTCTATTACAATTGATAATAAAACACAAACTACCTTCGAGCATCTTTTCTCCAGTATGGAGCGTACAATCCAGCAAACGCTGGCACAAAAACAATACGATTGCCCGCGGGCATTTGTTCGACGATAGTTTCGCAGTCTTTTATATTAGTCAGTATTTCAAGATTATCTTTCAACCATTGTACAACGGCACCCGCGATCGCTACAGAACCCTCAAGAGCGTACACTGGAGAAGCGTGTGCTCCTAATTGATAAGCAACCGTCGTCAGTAAACCGTGAGACGAGTCCACAATCTGTAACGTTCAGAGAAACGAAAATTATATTTTAAAGTAACAATAGGGGCTCAATAAATTAAAAATTAACACATTAAAACAATCAAGGGCAAAGAGCCGAGCTGGATATTAATAACTAAAATTAACATACATTTCAAAAACGATCCAACGTTTCGGCTTACACTAAGAAGACGAAGAAATTGCGTAAATATGTTTTAATGTAAATTTGATCTACTGAAGATGGCTTAATGTAAGGCGAAACATTTGGATCGCTTTTGAAATATATGTTAATTTTAGCTATTAATATCCAGCCTGGCTCTCTGCCCTTGATTGTGTTAAAATTACATTTGTTTGAACTCGTATTTGTCTGAATTTATGTATCATGTTTGTGACGATATAATAAAACTTCTCTTACAGCTGTGCCAGTATTATAAAGAAGAAAGCAGCCAGTGCCGTAAGTACTTTTTGCCTGTCCTTGCTGCAGACACATCTGACCTACTAAAGCTGATTGTTGATCACCTAAGCACTGCAATAAATTTTTCCACACTTGAGTCAAATTTATAACATTCACAATTGATATATATTTCAATTAGTATAAAGTTATATTGTGAAAATTTCATTTTATAATACCACATTATGTGACATTACATCTACTTTACTTTGTATTTAATAAAATAACATAAGGATTGCATACCCCTGATATAGGAACACCCTGCAGTAATTCATCTTGTATATAACCATAAATCTCAGAGGAGCTTCGTATTTGAGGTAAAATTTCAGGAGGTATTTTAAAAAATGACAATAGAGTAGGATCCCACTTCAACGTCACGATATTCATCAGCATTGTTCTCGAAGCATTCGTAACGTCTGTACTGTGAACACCACCATTGGCACCACCAGTTAAATTCTAATTACAAAATTAGGCATGTTAGTCGAAATCAATGTAAAAAGATTCTTTATATTATGCTTTGCACGTTGTTCTTTACCCAAATTAACCAGGAATCGATGGTGCCGAACATGAGACGTTTGGCAGCTAGTGCTTCTTGAACCCGGGGTACATTCTCTAACAGCCATTTCAATTTTAACGCGCTAAAATATGGACTAATCGGCAGACCGCAGAGCGGCTTCAGGTAATTCTTATTTTTATTGCGTATGCCCTTCAATATATCATCCACAATTGACGTAGTTCTCATATCCATCCACACTGCAATACATTATTAAAAATTGACGAATTGTGTACTGTTACAAGATAATATTGTAACTATTACAAGATATTCATGGAAATTGTCTCGTCTGTAACAAGGCTGTCTACAATGTGTTCTTTGCTTTTTACTTCTTGCCTTTCTTCTTCTTTGTGATCATTTTATCAACAATCGTACGTGTTTCTTGTCATGTCTTTCTCTCTTTCAAAGTTCAACATTTGTTCCGAGTGAAAATAAAGGATCGGGATATAAGAGGCAAAAAGGCAAGGGTGGTAAAAAGTAATGAAAAGCAAGAAACAAGATGCAAAGAGCACATTGTAGATACAGCCTAAAATAACGCAATGTTACCTATGGCATTGTAAAGTGGTTCTCCCGTTACAGAGTCCCACACAACTGTGGTCTCCCTCTGATTCGTTATACCAATTGCAACTATATCAGCCGGATCTATCGTCAACTGCCTCAAGTTAAACACAGTTTGCTTGAGGCATTCCCTGACTGCGCCCAATATTTCCAAAGCGTCCTGCTCAACCCATCCCTCTCTTGGGCATGTCTGTGATATCGAGACTTGATGATATGTTAAAACTTCCGCTGTGTCTGCCGCAAAAACCTGCATTATTGTAACGGAGAATTATTGAGTGGGATCAGATACAGGGTGTAACTAAAAGATACCCGCCACGTACCTTTCGGTTACACCTTGTACATACGCATTTTTAGGTTCTACGTTATAATTACTTTAACAACAATAAATCAATGATCAATAACGGATGAGGGAACGAAATGGTAAAAGATACAGCCTTGTCAGTGAGTCTCTTTTTTTTTTTAACAAATATCATCATCCTCGTCATTACAGGTTAAACTACAGGCCTCTCTCTTTCAATGCGTCTTTTCGAACTCGTAATTTATTTTTAACACACGAACAAATTCGAGGAGACCGATCGACTTGTTACAGCATCTATCGTATATATACTGTACAGTGTACATACATCCTCGGACTCCCGATCGCGCGATAACCGCAATCCCGCGACGACCGCGCGTTATCTCTCACGTTATGATCATTGACACGAGTGTTGAGGAGTTTAAAGATTCATCGAACCAGGAATCTCGCGCTGCCCGTCCCCTCGTCGATCGCCCCGACGAGAGGCCCGTATCTGCTCATCGATTCATTTTTGTTCATTTGAGCGAACGTGATCGACGTCACCTCGACACGCGACCGCGATCGTCATGCGACTTCACACAGCAGTTTCGCACACGTGCTCGCTTATTTCATCACCACCGTCTCGCGTCGAAACGCCTCGAAAGATCGACCGACGCTCTTTGACTAAAGCCGACGCTTAATAGCGGTCCCCGGCCGGTTGTCTCCTTTTGAAATACGATGATGTATCTGTGATGTAACCGAAGGAGAATCATGTCAAACCTGCAGGCTTAATCAATACTGACCGCTCGGGCAGTTCAATTACTTCAATTGAACTCGGACATGACGCGAATTGACAATCGACTGGCTCCTGACCTGCCTGACCATCCGATTTCTGATTAATCGACCCGCCTGAAGTAACAAATGAATCATGAATGTGATTGTAGGCATTGTAGCCTCCCGGGAAAAAAAGTTCCATATATATAATTACATATAATTATATGCAAAATATGTGTGTATATGTTTCTTTCTTTTGTAAAATTATTCTTTAATACAAAATTGATAATAATAAGGAAACATAAAAAATAATTAAAAGAATAATTTTTACAGTTTTTTTACAAAAAATCAAGTTTGAATTAGAAACGAGAAAAATTGTTCATATATAATTATATATATATGTATATTTTTAATCACTTATATATGATTATATATAAGCAATTTTTTTCATTTCATTTTTCAAACATATTTTTTCGAAAAAAAACAATGTAAAAATTATTCTTTTAATTATTTTTTATGTTTCCTTCTTATTATTATCAATTTTGTATTAAAGAATAATTTTACAAAGGAAAGAAACATATATGGACATATTTTGCATATAATTGTTGCGGGCATGGAGGAGAAGATTTCTTCTTCTTTTTATAAAAATGGCTTCGCCCCCGCTAGGGACCATACAGCCTGATAAAAATTTTATAAGTGAGCACTAATACGGAAGCAGAGAACTATTAGTCGAATGATGCAATACTAATGTCTATTTCTACCAACGTAGATTAACTTTAATCCAGGTTTAACTTACTCTGTACACTTTTTCTACTTTTAAGGATTGAAAAAAAGATAAAAAGTAAATAAAAAGCGATTAAAGTTAATCTACATTGGTAGAAATGGATATAAAGCGTGATGCTATACAGTTGAACCTCGATAACCCGAATCTCAAGGGATTAGAAAAATTGTTCGAGTTATAGAGTTTTCGATTTATCGAAATTCGAGTAAAAGAAGGTTAACAATATGGTTTGGAAAGTTATGAAAATTCGACTTACGAAGGCTTTGTACGACAGTTTATAATTTTCCAATTATAATGGCTTTTAAAGGAAGAAAATCAATATTTAACAGTGATTATTTAGTGCATACATATGATAAATGTAACTACAAAACAAAATACCAAGCTATTACTCACGGTTACACATAGCTACAATTTCGAATTATAGAGGTAGCGACAATGGAAGTTCGAGAGGTGAATTTCGATTTGTAGAGGTCTGGATACTTTAAATTCGAGTTACAGAGGTAAAATATATATCTAAATGCCTGACAAATAATTCGAGTTAAGGTAGGTTTTATTTCGATTTATAGAGGTTTTCCTCAGCGGAGCGGAAGGGGATGAACAAAATTTTCGTCTTAAGCCCATATCAGACGTAAAGATTGAGATTAAAGATTGGAATGGAATTTGACCAATTAAAACAAAGTTCACTAAATTTGAGATTAGTTTTCTTTCTTCCAATTGGTTAAATTCCAATTCAATCTCAATCTCAATCTTTAGTCTGATACGGGCTTTATAGAGATTTTCGAGTTGTAGAGGTTCGAGTTATCGAGGTTCGATTGTAGAATACTAAAGCGGAAGCAGAACACTCGGCCGCACAGACGTCCACTTCAGTCCGTGGCTGATCATCGCACACGAATCCGGGGAGATGCAATGCAAAAGTAAAGACTAAAAGACACAAGGCGTTTTGAAAAAATGCTAGTTAACAAATGTATTTCGGTACCTCCATAACAGTAGAGTTTATTTACCAGAGTTTATTCGCGCTCGCTAATTCATTCGGAGCTTTGAAAATCGCCTTGAGGTCCCGATAAAACGCAGTCCGACATATCAAAAATAAGTAGTACGATAAATCGAAGCATGAAGGAATGTTATCTGCTCTGTGAAAAAAAAACAAAAAAAAGAAAAGTCATCGCGTCTCGGCGGCGCGAAAAAAATGGACAATTCATCCATTACAATTGGGATAATTGAATCGCTCGCCGCCGTTTCGTATACCATTTGAACCATTTCATAGCAGCCACTCACTCGGCGACGCGCCGCCAGATGGCGCGCGTGACGCCCGCCTGTTCTCCCCCCCCTCGCCCCGGTACGCGCGTTTATGTCGCAGATGCTTTCCCGACGACTCGACGGACGCCGGGACGGTAAAAACGCGCGGGCACCGATCACGTCGCCATTTCAGGATTCCACGGGCGTCGCAACGGCTGTCAACCCCGGACCCCGGCCCGTCCGTCGTCGTCGTCGTCGTCGTCGTTTGTGCGAAACTGCGAACGCGTGTGCACGCCATCGCCAGGGTGTCCGCTCGGCTGCTGTTCTCCTTGCCGCTGCCAATCGTCCGCACCCGGGGAATGAAAATTTCAAGTCAGTGCTGGCAACTTTTTGCGTCTTGTTATCGCCATTCGCCAATGTCGCGCCCGACACCACTGTTATGCACTCTCGATCACGCGTCCCGTGGACGGCACGCGCGTCTCTCTCGGCTATCGTGAATATTTTGCTCGCGTACGGCGCGCGTGTGGAGGAGCCTGATTGTGTGCGCGTGGAGTTCGGGGACGCGTTTCTTTCGAACGGCGCGGCGGTCCCGTCGAGCTCGGCGAGCGCGACCACCGTTCCTTCCCGCGCTGCGAGTCTCGGCCGCCGCGACGCGACGGTTCCCGCAAATCCCGCAGCATTCGACGCGGCGGACAATGGCGGGAGAGACGGACGTCCGCGTGCCGTGTGTTCCACGGAGGGAACTTCCGCCGTCGAGCGCGCGTCACGGCGGCCACGAGCACACGAGCTCTCGAGAGCGTGTCGACCGACGGGCCGCGCTCTCTCGCGCGTCTCCTGCGGCTACGTGGCCGCGGCGTTCGAAGGTTCGACCTTCCGTTCGATTCGCAGTCTTACCCGCGCGACTCGACATCGTGAACACGGGAGATCCGACAACGGCCGTGATATTTACCGAAGTCGCAATGCGGATAGGTGATTTGCATGTCGATACCTTGCGCGCGACACGCCGACAAGGACGAACTTCGGCGACGCTCGATGCTTCCGATGCTTCGGCGTCGTTGATTTAACGCGACTGCATGCTTATAAACTCGCATCAAATTATCGGCGAATTTCACTTTGTATGTGAAACATGAGACGACGATTATAAATGTCAAGTAATTGTATAAATGTTGAATCGCGATGAGTCAGGATATCTGTAGAAAGAAAAATGTATGATTACAATTATCCCTCAGTCAAATCTGAAACAATTTTGCAGCCTTCAAAATTAGGAGTAGAAATGTAATAAGCCAATAGAGAAATATAGCGTCTGTTATATTTCAGAATATGATGGCAGATTGCAAAAAAAAACAGTAGAATCTACCATTTAAATATATTAGCATATAGCAGTAATCAGATTTTGCTGATTGTCAAATTATAATGGTTCTGCAGACAAAACATAAGATATTAAGTAGATACAGTTAATACGAATTTATTGAAATATTTGATTTGGAACTATCTTACTGCTAGTAAACTGCTAGCAGACCGTTAATATTTCGTTTATTAAGCATAATAGATTTATATGTATGAGCCTCTTAGAAAAGCCAAATTGATAAACATGATAAACTTACACGAGATAAACAGTAAAAAAAATTTATGAAGTTATCTAATCGCATACTCTGTCAAAATTAAGAAATTTACAAAAAATGAAGTTGGTCAGTGTGACCTCTAAGAAGTTCATATACATATAGATTAGAGAAATAGCAAGAGGCTTCGAAATAATTTTATTAAGCTCTGAGTACAGAAAATATCTTTTTCTTTCAATATTTGAAAGTTTTATTGTTAGGCAAAATAAAAAAAATTTCCAAATTACATATCTAGTATCGCTAACAATAAAATATATATCAATTATAGCAGTAAAAGATGATGGCTGACTTCGATAAAGATTCCATACAGTGCTTAGTGTGCAACAGTAAAATTGGAATATCCACTAGAAACAGTATACGCATCTTTGATGAATCTAATTGTACTGTATCTGAGAAGCCACTTGTGGATGTTATATCAGCTGTTTTAGAAATTGATATCAGTGAAGAGTCCGTGCATTCTCATGTCATTTGTAGAAAATGTTTTAAGCTGTTCAATGAGGTAAAGCTATTACGTAAAAATGGCGATCTTTCGCGAGATAAAGTTACTTTGATAAAAATTATCGCAAATTGGTCAAAAATTATATTTTCTTATGGTTCTAGGTGGATGAACTTGAAAGTAAATTAACCGAAATCAGAATGGAGTTATGTAACAACTATAAAAAGACAGAGGAAGTTAAAAAGTTGTGTGCCATACTACAAAATGAGGAAGAATATAACGATCATGATTACACAGACAATACGGAAAGTCAAAACACTTTAATAGAGGTAAAATGCCATTTACAGCTTGATTAATTACATATTTTATAGCTGAGTAATATGTACAGGGTGTTTCAAGACTGAATGTTCTAACTTAAAATATGAATTTAGGACTTCAAAACAAGAAAAAATTTGCCTCTGGAGGTATGCTCGTAAACGCTTTGTTTAAGAGATATTGACATTTAAATATTTTCAATTTTATGAAATTATTATCGGGTTATAATAAATTAATTATGTATTTTAGCTACTTTATTATTAGAGAATATAAAATTTTTGATATAATTATAAATTTTGTTTAAAGTCATGATTTTGAACAATCAGATAAGCATCTGTCTTTCATAGCAGCAGTGGCAGAGCAGCAGTAATTTCATATGTTTAAATAATTCTTTATGAAAAATTATTTGTAAAGAATTAACGTCATTAACCGGATTTTCGTAGCTTTTTAATAACATTTCAAACAAAATTGCGTCAAATCTAGAGCGTGCAATCAAGTCACAGATTCTGTACGAACAATTCATTGATCGGAATAATGAATATTTAGCCATATATGATATGTCCATATGGTGTTTGTGTACTATTTTTATAATATTGATAGTACCGTTATGGAAATAAGTTCGTATTAGTAATACCATAACTTTATCATTCTTATCTGTAATTTTAAATGTCAATATCTTTTAAATAAAGCGTTTACGGGCATACCTTCAGAGAAGATTTTTTTTTCTTAATTTGAGTAATCCTAAATATTTTAAATTGGGACATTTAATCCTAAAACATCCTGTATAATTGTATTGTATAATAATACTAGGAACTGCAAGAAAATAAAGATTATATAATAGAGGAGACTAAACAAGAAGAGGAAGAACAAGAAACGCCAATTGTAGAGGCAGAAGATTCTTTATTCACCGAGGAAGTAGATGATCCAGATAGTCCTAATGATAAAAAGAAATTGAAGAAGAGCAAAGTTAAAGCGAATCGCCCTCAGGAAACTGTACGTATGAAAGAATTCGTGTCCTTGCAACACATAAAGAATTTATAGTATATGAATTATGGAATTTTTTTCAGATTGTACTTAGAGATGAATCTTCGTACACCTGTGTCTTATGTCCAAATGAGGAGAGAGTCACGGCAGATGCTAAAACTATTATAGCGCACATGAAAGACGTGCACGACGTCCGTTTATATATTTGCGATGTATGCGGACAGGATTTCAGGAAGAGAAACGAACTTTCCTTGCATCTTGACGATCACGTCGCAAAGGAGGAAGGCGACTTTCAGTGCGAGATATGTAATAGGATATTTGGTAATCTGCGACTGTTCCGGATTCATAAAAGGATACATTATCCGCAAGTGAAATCATGGACTTGCGAGTCGTGTGGAAAGAGATACAAGTACAGTATTTATGAAACTAAAATTGAACTATAAAATATATAAATGAATGTAAAGAGAGATAATTAATACATATATATTTTTTCGATTTAGTTCCAAAAATTTATTAGAAGAACACATGAATACACACACAGGTATTCGCCCGCACGTGTGCGAAACATGTGGCAAAGATTTCGCATCCAAGTATACATATAAAGCGCACGTAAAAACACATGAAGTACGACCTCGTCCATTCAAGTGCAGTCGATGTACTAAAACGTTTTTGAGCCAGCAAAATTTGACACAACATGAACGAACGCATAATGGCATAAAGGATTATGTATGCCATCAGTGCGGTAAGATTTATATTTCATATGATTAATATTTAATGTTTTTTTTTTTACATATTTTTACATCAACTGAAGCAGGGTGTCCAGCGATTCTTAAATGTCCTTAAATCCTGGAATTTTTATGGAATTTCAAATATGTCCTGGAAAATTCCTGAAAAATCCCTGGAATTTCGGGATTGACCTTAAATTTTTGTCATTCTCTTATTCTAAAAAAAATTGGATTGTAAAAAAAAGAAAGAAATAAATATTTCTTGCGCGTGTGCTAGATGTATGTCGATAACATTGATAACATCGTTTTTAGAAAAGTTTATGATTGTATAAGCTCTTCCTTAAAGATACAATAAAGCAAGCAATTTGTAAAACAATAAATAATATTCTAAATTTGTTTTACTTGGTAATTGATTTGTCATATAGAATCTTAATTTGAATACAAAACATATAATATTGCGCAAATCAATAAGAATTAAGTAATGAAAATTAATAGACCTGGAAAAACCATTCTTACCTGGAATGTCTTGGAATTATCCTTGAATTGGCTAATCAGATATCATTGGACACCATGTGAAGTTATGCCTTTTATATTAACATGTATTTGTTCTTTTTAACAATCATCTTTCTTAAAATTAAAGGTAAGGCCTTTACCTCCTCACACAATTTAGAGGTACATAATATAGTGCATACCGGAGATAAACCCTTTCCATGCGGAATGTGTGGTAAAGCGTTTGCGCGTAAAGCGGAAATACGTGATCACGAGAGAACTCATACAGGTGAGAAACCTTATCAATGCGAGTTTTGTGGAGCAACATTTAGGTGAGTATTTAGGTGAGTAATAGAGATTAGAGAGAGAGAGGGTTATACAATTCTCTATACTTAAATTAATTGCTAGCAAACGATTAATATCGTTATTATTTGCAGCCAGAGATCGAATCTGCAATCTCATAAGCGGGCGACGCATTATAATGATAAACGTTACAAGTGTGATGAATGTGGAAAAGGTTTCAAAAGAAGAAGATTATTGAATTACCATATAAAAGCGGCGCACACCGGTGAAAGACCATATAAATGCAATACGTGTGACGCTACATTTGTCTATCCTGAGCATTTCAAGAAGCACACACGTATACACACAGGCGAGAAACCATATCTGTGTGAGGTATGTGCTTTAAAATTATTGCTAGAACACTTTTCTCTAATTATTTTTCATTTAGATGTTTTTATTTTTAATTTGCGTTTCTGTGCTCCATTTTAGGTTTGTGGCAAAGCATTTAATAGCAGAGATAATAGGAACGCTCATAGATTTATACACAGCGATAAAAAACCATACGAATGTTTGGTGTGCGGTATGGGTTTTATGAGAAAACCATTACTTTACGCACATATGCAACAAAAGGTAATGCATAAGAAAATTCTTAAGGGGTTATGCTGGAGTTGCTATTATATCGATGAAACGCAATAATTAATATACAATGTTTTTGTATTGCTTTTACAAATTTAAAAATCATCTTCCAGAATTAAGAGCATAGATAATAACGGAATGAAACGATTTTGTATGAAAAACGAAAACATTTTCGAAACAGTTTTCGATTTTTAGCGTCGACTCGTAACAATATTTGCTTAATATAAGAGTTTTATACATTGTATGTATAAAACAAGCTTTATCCGCGCTAGTGATCACACGAAAGAATAATACTATGCTTTTACTGAGCCTAGGTGTTTTGATATAAAAGAAAACATTGTATGAAAATGCATGTGTATGTATGCGTACGTTATTGATGTAGTAGTAAACATCAACACATTACTACTACATCAATATCGCACGCATACATATGAACAAATTGCCGACGTGGAGTTCGGCCATTTTTAGCATCGCCTTAATACATTAGCAAATTTTCATTTTTCTTTCCTATTTTTTGTTATACATTATTTCATAAAATAGCAGATTTTTATAGAATCATTATATAGCATATATAAAGATTATCATTATATACTATTAGTATTATTTGATAAATTTATATAAAATATTACTCATTATTTAGGGTCATTTAAATGATACGATAGTAGTGAACCAACCGCGTCTGACAATGGACGACGATCAAATAATAACTATTCCCAATAGTAATGGCGAACTGCTGATGGAAGAAGTTGATAATGAACAGGTAAGTTTTTTATATTATATGGAATATAATGTGTATTGATTACATTAACTTTTTATATATTACAATCCTATGCATTTACAAACAGAAAATGTACAAAAATATTAGCATATTTTCTTGATTTAAAAATGTAACTGGTGATTTTATTGCATACAATGTGCAATATTATGAAATGTACGTCGTAACGTGCGAAACTTTATATACATTGTTGCTTTAGCTGGATGAAACTGAATTATATGTAACCGAACTGAAAGATCACGTGATTATACAACAAGGAGAGGATCATATATATAATGAAGAGGATGTTGTATTAAATATACCAACAGAAGAAACCGAAGTAGAACATCTTGTCGTCGAAAACGATCAGGTAGAGTAACAGAATTTTTTGAAAGTTCGCTGCAAAGTAATTTATTGCAAACTGCATTTTGTTTCATAGATAAATTTTGTGGAGGGTGAAGATGCAGAATGTAAAACGGAAGTTGATGAAGTAGAAACGGTGTACACTTATGACGAGAATGAAGAAGGCGAGACGATAGTTATACCATCCTCTTCGCAAGGAGAAGAGAAGAATGTGCGATTAGTGCAGATATTTCCAGCCTCCGGAGATGGAGAAGGCAAAAACTGGTTGAGCTTAGTACAAAGCACTTGAATTGATTTAATTAATACGCTGCATAATTTACTAAGATCGAAACTGTGTATTGACATTATAAATCTATAGCTGATTATAAATCAGTTATACGGAAACAATTCGTATTAGAACATTAGTGATTTAGTTTCGGTTATTCAATCACTGCTGTAATCTTATGATGTGAATGTCTACATAAAAAATTCATCGATTTAAATAAAGATTAATGTACTATTCCGGTTATATAAAAATTAAATAAGTTAGATTTAATGCACAAGATAAACAAATTTAATTATAGTCTAATTATTCATCTTAATCATTATCCTGTAGTTAATTCATTGCGACATGTTAAAATTAATTTAAATATCAAATTTTTTTATGACATTAAAAAGACTTTATTACAATAACATATTTCTCATTACAATTTTTTTTAAATACATATCTAAGAACTTAGGATATATATCACATTATGATAGATGTGTGTATATATACATATGTATATGTATGTATGTTTATATGTGTATTTTGTACTGCTATTAAAGAATACATATGTAAACGCATACATGTATGTGTATGTGTATGTGTATATATATATATATATATAAATATATATAATATATAATATATATACACATGTATTTGGTTCTTTGAAGTTTAACTTTTATGACTTATACTAATTTAAATTTTTAAGTTTGAATATTTGAAATTACTTATTAGCTTAAGTATCAATTTTTCCAACTACTTCAAACCATTGACGTAAAGCATCGCTTAGAACACCCGGTAATGTGTTTATGTCTCTAAGAATCATATAGAATGGAAATGGAAAACTGTCCATATACGATCGAATTCCTAATAATTTTCCCCCTTCGAACACAGGCATACGAATATCCAATATTGAATCCTGAAAAGATAAATAAGCTCTTAACAATTTTTTTAATACGTTTTTAATAGTATTTATAAATTATAAACTGAACTATTATCGTGATAATTATTAAACATAAGATCATTTTAATTATAAGATTAAGAATTACCTTATTAATTGGATTGTCGACTATTATAAACACTAGGAAGATATCTACAAGTCTTGCTCTCCTGACAGCACAATTCACTTTTTCTTTCCCTTCTGAAAATATCCCTCTGCCATCCGATAGTACTACCAGCAGCTTAGCATTGTCGGATGAAGCACGTTGACTTTCGAACATATCCACTGTAAAATCGACTAGTTGCCCAATCATCGTCTTTTTTTGATCAAATCTCATTTCTTGTATTAACCTGTAAACGAAAAAAAGGTTGTAAAATGGCTGTAAAATTCTAATTTTCAATTTTCACATTGAACAAAATAAGGTTATTCTAATTAAGTCAAGCTACGACTAATAAATTTGAATGTAAAGTAGCGACTAAGATTAATATCATTTTATCTAATTTTATTTCTTGAACCATATATTCAATTTATATTTAATTAAATATAGAGTTTTATGAGAAAAGTACCTAGATCCACTTTGTTCCGTGAAGGCTTCTCCTAAAGGATGCAACACCTTCACCTGCTCCCCGAAGCTTATGACACTAAGTTGCCCCACCTCCAGATACGTCATAGCTTTGCTAATCAGCGACAAGGACTCGAAAGCCAATTCTTTGGAATGATTGTCTGCCATGCTGCTGGAATCGTCTAATGCCAGGACGATCTGATAGTCACGTTTCGAGGGTTTCGTGCGCCTGAGCCAGATCTTATCCTTGCGAAATTGGCTGGCTATATAGGGGATGATTTTTCGCATATTGATCCGTTTACCCGTCTTGTAATCACCTCTCAATCTAGAGGCTTGCGTAGGCTCCAACACCAATCTTAATTTTTCGGACAGATCCCTAGCGGCCGCGTCCGTGACCGAGCACAGACAATTCCATGCGGCAGTAGCTTCCTCCGTGGAGGGCATTTGCGTCCATTCACTCAACATCCTTTCCACCTCGAATCGCTTTCTTTCCACATGAGCAGAGCCAAGCATATCCTCTTCCATACTCCGTTCCATCGTATGAAACGTCGATTCGTTTCCTCTCTGCACTTTCATGGTCTCCGCTGTTTCCCCTTCCAATTCGACCGTTGCCTCCGTCTGACTGTCTTCCACGTTGTTTCCTTTACCATCGGAATCCTTTTTGTTATCTGCAATTTCAGAGACCTTTTCGGATTTCTGTTCATTTATCTTATCATCCGCTACGTCATTCTCCTTATCCTCGTGCATCTCTACGTCCGCAGTGTCGTCCTTTTTCTCTTCCTCATTCTCATCCTTATCCGTGTTGGAAGCTTGTTGTCTGACTTGATCTTCTGTCGCGGCGTCGAGCGTGTAATCGTCGAATCTCTCGGAATCCTTGATGTGTTGAGCCAACTCAGCCTTTTCGCCATCAGCATTGCCTGCATCGTCCTCCTTCTCATCCCTCGACACCTCGTCCTGCGTGTAGATCGTCTTTAGTTTCTTTAGCGTCGGCTCAAATCTATCCAACAAACTGCGATCCTCGTTGCTCTCGCCCGGATTCTTCCTCTTCTCGACTGGTTTCGTCATAGCGTTGCTCTGCGGTGCCGGAACAGTTTCCTGCTTAGACGATCCTGAATGTCCGCTCTCCTGTTGTGCCGATTGCGATTGACCCGTGCCTTTGTCATTATTGTCCTCTTGAGTATTCTCGGCTGAAGCTTCCTGCTGCTGATCCTTCGCGTTCGGCTGTTGCGCTACCGTATCCCGCGAACCTTCCGTCGTTTCTTCGATTTGTTGCGCAGCATCCATTTCCTTGCTCGCATCATTTGCACTCGGTGCTGCCTTCTCCTGCAGTTTTTCTTCCTCTGCTTCTTTGTCCTGATTCTGCTCTTCGTCTTTGTTCTCGCCTTCGGCATTTTCGCCACTTTTCTCTTCAGTTTCCTTATTAGTTTCGAGTTGTTCTTCTGTTTTTTGTGCCTGATCTTCCTTATCGGTATTACCGTTGTCCTCGTCCTCGTCCTCACTAGAATCTCCCTCAGGATCATTTTCTTTAGTCTCCTCAGATTCCTTCTCGAGTTCTATATCTTGCTTTTCTGGCGGCGGCTTCTTCATCTCGTCGATGTCGAACGGATTATCATCCTCGCCACCGTTGTCCTCCTTACCGTCCTCATCCAGATTCATGTCTTCCGGTAAATCGAGCGGTTCGGGTTCCGGTTGAGGCTGGAACTTACCGTGATAAGGATTAATCTGATCCTCATCTACCTCTGGCTCATTCAATTCATTTATCTCCTTTTTACTTTCCTCCTGTTGATTTTCATCACCATCCGTATCGTCATCGTCATCCTGTTTTCTCTTATCTCTGTCATCCTTCGCGCCCATTTCTTTCTCACCGATTTGTTCGCCCGTACCTTCCTCTTCGTCCTCGTCTTCCGGCTGCTGATTTTCCTCCCCGGATTCCTCCTGATCGTCGCCCCAGAGTTCTTTATCAAGCTGCTCAGCGCCTTCCCCAGTCTCTCCCATTTCTTTATCCAAATTGTTTTCTTCATCATCGTCACTTTGTTCCTCGTCATTGTCGTTTTTCTCCATATCTTGAAGCTCGCTGTCGAAATTTTCGGACATGTTAATTCCCTTCTCCTCTTCCTCACAAGTCTTATCGTCTTGCTTCTCCCGTTCCTGATCCGCGGGCCTTGCATCCTCGAGCTGATCCTCGGATTCTATTCTATCGGAAACGTCTTTCGTTCCTTCGCCTTCAGCTAAACCCATCCCGCCTTTTTCCGTCCTCTCGCCCGACTCGTCCGTTTCATTTTCCTCGAGATCTAAATCCTTTGGCACACAGAACCCATTTGCAGCTAAATCCAAGAATACGTTTAACTGCAGGTACAGTATCTTGCACGTGATGCGGAAAGAAGCCACTTGCTCGTTTAAATAAAACTGAACGAGCAAGATATATTGTTCCAACAGAGGCAAACATTTTAGGAGCAACCTGAAAGAAATAATAATATACATTTATCAATTTCGCGGAATTTATTTAGCTTTTATTTCACGTTAACAAAATTTTTTTTATTAACATTATTTTTATTTATAAATACGGAAAAATAATATGCTTTTTAATAAAAAATTAGATATTCTTTTCAACAAAAAAAAAAAAACATTGTGTTACATTTTAAAATCACTTATGCCGCTCGAAATGTTAAATAATAAAATAATAATCCGTACCTGATACAATAGTTTGCTGATTGCAGATCGAATTCACGTATTGACAGTAAAAGATCGGAAAATAAATTGTATATATTAGACAGCTTTAGTTCGATTATGTCCTGTTCGAGTGATTCAACAAGTTTCATATTCAAATTTTCTTCTTCCTCCGTATCGTTATCATTTTCCTCATTCGGTTTCTTGTTCGTATCTTTCTTAATGTCTTTATATTTCTTCTGTATTGCAAACAATATCGTCTTTATTACATGTTCCTGCGTTTCCTTGTATTTCTCGATATTTTTCTGAGTGTGATTTTTTTCGGCCAGTTGCTCTCCATTTTCGGTATCTGCTGATCTTCGTAATTTTTCGAAGAGCGTAAGGAAGCATTCCATCTTCGTTTCTAAGAACGCTATATTTTCCCAGATAGGATGCACAACGTCCAAGCTCTCAAATAATCGTTTTAATTCCTCAGACCGCGCTCTTAAATCTTTGATCGTCGCGCAGCATTGCTCCAAGAATTCAAAGTGCTTCGAACTTAAAAATGAAATATGAGTGGAACGTTCAGGATGATCTACCGACAAAACTTCGAATGGTATGAATAAGGCGTGGAAACGTTTCGCAGTAGCTTTTACCAAATTCAAGCTATCCTTCAGCAAAGCGTTTGCGCTTTTCCAAATCTCGTCATTTTGAGAGGCGGCAATTATAGGGAGCGCGTTTGCGTGCAAGGTAAGTGCGGCTCTGTTCGGATCCGTCGACGATTCCGCGGGGCAGCATTGCAGAAACAGCAGCAGCTGCTCGAATCCAACTTCCAACGTAATCAGCAACGTCTTTAGGCTCTCCGCGCAGTCCTGGCCTCTGTTCTGCCTCAGTATATTCAGATCGTGCTCGTGCGTCTCGGTCAGATTCGAAATCTGCACGCGAAGCGACCAGAAACGATTGAACGACTGGACGATCGACGTCTTCTGTCTGTGGGCCAGCAGCATCAAGTGCGCGGAATATCCTCGGCAACGTTCTATGTTCTGCAGTCCCAGGTCGGTCTGGCTTGTGCTGAGCATCGCGTTGAGAGCGTTCAATCTGATGAGAGACTTGTAGTAATACTTCTCGCAATCCTTCCACTGCGTCAGCATACCCCGGTCGGCTCTGTTCAGTTTAAAGTACTGGCCGATTGTAGACAGATTCAAAGGTGATACCGTGAAATCGATCACCTTGTCCGCGTCGTTCTTCAATGTCAGTACACCAGTGCGATAGGATATGCCTATTTGCGTCAATGCCTTGAAGTAATTGGCGAGCGTCATTTTCTTCTGCTGCAAGATACTCTTTGCCTGAGACTTCTGCTTATTTTTCGGCAAACTTCTGTCGACGTTCATATCCCGAAGACGCGTGCTCTGCTCCGTGTAGTCCTCGATGAAATTTTCGAGTTCCTCTCGTACGTTCGGGTAGGAATTTACTAGGACTATCTCGTTGCAGTAGTCCTTGGCCTTCGTTAGCGTCTCTGTTCTCATGATAAATCCGCTTGCAAACTGTATTTTCACGTCTACAGATCGTGGAGATTTTGCAACGGTAAAATCTTCAGGATTTATTGTGTACTTTTTCCCATCATCCCAGATGCCTTTGCTCATCTCTGTACTGTAAGATCCCGACTTAACAGTCAGGCAAGAAGACACATTCTGCTTCAGGGCATTCTGGAACTCCTTTACGAATTTATGCAGAGTGCGATGCGTCTTCTCTACCGTCTCCTTCACAGCCCAGTAGCTAATATCGTTCCATCGCTCAATCTTAACGAAATCTTTAAGCTTCTTCTCAATGGGCGCTTTCAAAGCGGCGATTCTTGCGTTCACGTCGTCTATGAATTGCTTGTAGTAATTGTACATGTTCCACAATACGGCCAAGAGTTCGTTCTTATTGTTACTATCGTCGAAGTGATACACGTGACAGTGGAATGTTAAGAGGAGATCCAAGCGCGATTCGAATTCGACGAGGGACGATTCGTTCATGAAACGTTCTAGCGATTCTACCAACTTTTGCCTGGTGATAGGCTCATCGTTCGCTTTCTGGGCGCTATCTTTGTCGGATCTCTCGGTAATGTAATTCTCGATCAGCGCGTACAAGAAGAACCACCATTTAGACGTGTCCGATCTGAGAGTTTCGTATGTCGCATCGAGACAACCTTTCCAGCAGGACAGTTCCAGCTTCCGCCAGCATATTATCTGCTGTCGTAACCTTAACACATGGTCCATCATGCTGACCCCGCTGTGCGCGTTCTCCTCCCATTGATTCATCTTTACGTGCAGCAACTCCAAACCTGTCAGGAATCTGGAGACAGGTGAAGTGATCGAGAACGTGTAAATTCTTTCTATTATGCATCGTATCGATCTCAGAGTGGGATGTTCCGGCCACTCCTCCAACAGCTGATCGACACGATTCAGGATATCCTCGCACAACGGCAGGCACTGCTTCACTTTTTCGACATTGCAGTCCTTGTAGAAATCGTACGCTCTCATTGGTTTGTCGGTGTTCTCCCACAAAGTAGAATCCGTGCTCTTCTCTCGGCTCGCTTGCAGTCCCAAAGTCACCAGAAGGTTCAAACTGTTGTACAGTTCGATCGCAAGTCCTTCGCTCAAACTCGGCAGTATGTTGTCAAGCATTCCGTATACCGTGTTGTATCGTTGAATCAGAGGCCCGATGTAATTCGTCGAACTCGCCGAAGCAGGACTGTTGCATAACCACTTGGTCGTGATGAAAGACGTGACGATATTCGAGTGGATCTGCTGGATCTCTCTGATATCATCCTTGGTGACGAGACCGCTGAAGCTCGACTCCGCTTCGTCCGATTGGATCGGCGATATACTCCTCCGATCGAGGGAGGGTTGCGACTCGTCTATATCGTTAAAGTCCCTTTCGCGATGCGATGGGAATAGCTTGCGGACTTCCAGAGCTAGCTCTTCCTCCTCCGTCAACGTGTCGCCGTGACTCTCGTTCTTATTCTTGTACAGACTATCCTTCTCTGCGGCCCGTTTCTCTTCCTCCTGTTGTTGCTGCTTCCAGATGAGCACTATTTGCTGTAACAGCTCATTCATGTCTCGCCACAGTGACTTAGTCAGACCTTTGTTGAGAATCACGTGATTGTGCAGTTCGTGTAAACCCGACTTGAAAATCCGGAATTGTTCCTGCATCCTGACGAACGTGTCCGTGGAGCACAAACTCTCGCCGATCAGACTTCTCATGTTCCTGGAAACGCATAAACCACTCAGGCTCAAAAGATCTTCCTGCTGCCGGCCGATCGTCGGGAACCGGATCAAGTTGTATATCAAAGACTGGAGATCGGCCACTCCGCTTTTACGCAGAGACATCAGTCGTCGGATTTCGTTGATCAGTATGGAAACGCCGTGATTCAATTGAGCCAGCGCCGTTAGCAATGGAAGAATCACGTCCGGGTAAGCCGACAGGTACTTCGTTTTGATCTGCTCGGCGAATCGCTGCACCGACAAGCCCCAGATTTCCGCTTCTCGCGAAACGGTCTCCGCGACCGTCAGATCGGTCGACTCGCAATCTCGTCTGATCTTGTCCGCGATCGTGCATAGGTTGTTTACGTGCTTCTTCACTAATGTGTAGGATCCCACTCTGTTCCTAAAATCGGCGCTGTCCTTGCTGAGCGAAGCAAAATTGACGGACGACGGTCTGAACGCTCTCAGACAGCTGAGCTCATCCCTCGCCTTCAGCAAGCGTCTCTCGCAGTTACTCGTGGCTGCGAATCGCGGATTGTGCTCGTTCGCGGCTGATATCCCCAGAATACGATCCTGCAACGCTGTAACGTACATCGTCTTTCTGCAATCGGCGATGTTCTCCTCCAGGTACTCGAGCTTCAGTTCCACCTTATGTACGGGATCGATAAGATCCAAATTTCCAAAGAGCATTAATTGTACGTGACCGAGTATCATCCACGCTTTTCCCCGTAGAAGCGTGCTTTCTTCTTCGTGGACATTCTCCTCGTCGATTATATTTATCTCGTTGTACGCCTTATGCAATTCGTCCACAGGCTTGTAATAATTATCTGTCAGTCTGAGTTTGAGTTGGAGGTCGTCTGTGCGATTTCCGCCTTGCTTTTCTATGGCGATCGCAATCAATTTTGGTATGTCATGTTCGATTTTGTTGATCGTGGACGAATACAAGTGTAAGTAAAACTTTAACGTTGCCAGATCGCTACTGCTTGAATCGCATCGCTTGTTTGTCAACGAGATACTATTGCGCCATAAAATCTCATTTAACAGCTGCAACTGATCCACTTGCGCCGCATATGTTCCAAGCGCGATCGCGGGAAGAATGTTTTCCTCTTTCTCTCGGCCTGTTTTATTCAACATTAATTGCAGTACTAGGTTCAAGAGAACAGGTCCACCGACGTAGCATTCCATCTATAAATATACGTAAATAAATCACTAATGTAGTATATTTTTAGGTAAATAAAAGATTTTGAAAAAGTTTCGAGAGATAGTTAAAATGTTAAAGAATTAAACTTCAACATGCGCAAAGTAAATCTATGATTATATATGTGTTATACAGGGTGTTTACAAAAAGCAAGAAAAATTTAGCAATTAAGATTATCCCCTTTTTTCACGTTACATGCGATACGTAGAAGGCAATAAGTCAACTATGTTGACTAAAATACGAAATTGTTTATATCTCAGAAACGATTGAATTTTCAACTTATGTTTACTAAGGCTTTTTTACTTGATATAGTGTGTACTATCTACCATATATATAAATGCTGAATGTTTTTTGTAAATACTCTTTATATTGATGTATATTTTAATTGTGTGTATTTGCAATATTTCCTAATAATTAATTAGTTAATAACAATTTGTTAATAACAATTGGTCTCGATTGTTAAAACTGCTAAAAATTAAATATTATTAGCCATTTATATTATAAGAACAAGACACAAACCTTCGATTCAGCGTAGGAAGTTACTGATTTCTCTACATCTTCCTCCGTTACACCGCGCCAGTGCAAAAGACGGCTGGTATCCTTAAAAGCGTGAGATTGCTGAGCGAATTGCGCGAGGCAGCAGAACAGTTCCGGCAGCAGCAAGAATTCTGATTCTCGCTCGACTTTTCCTTGAGTCATCGCGCTGAGCAAGCCCATCAGATCGCTCGGTATACTGGCCACATCTGCGAATCTCGCGAGACATTCGGCCAGAACGACACCGGAAATCGTTACTTCCCGACACATCTCTCCCTGCAGAGTACCGGCGAGCGACAGAAACACGTACTCGTAAATCGGCCACAACCGTATCGCCGCGTTCGACTGCGCCATTTCCCTCTGCGGAAGAGAGCGTACTCTGTTCAGAATATCCTCGACTTCCGCGGGAACTCGCAGACGAATGTGGCTCTCGTCGCAGAATTGCTCCACCTCACGGACGATCCGTAACGCCGTTTCGTCGATCGACCTCCTGGCGTAAACGTCGCTCCACAAGGAGATCGTTTGCTGTCTCATCGCCAGCGCGTCCTTCAACTGCACGGATATGATCTTCAGCTCTTGTTTCAAGGTGCTGCCTCCCTCGTTCCTCACGTCGAGATCTCTCGTTATCCTCGTCAGCCCCGAGTGCACTTCCATGCTGATCTCCGTGGAGTGAGGCGGCGGAAGTGTCAAGTGCTTCTTGATTCTCTTCGCTATCTTATTGACAGGATCGTACACCGATTCCAACTGGTTGTTCATACGGCCTACAATCTCCCACAGTTGTTTTTCGCTCATGGTTTGCTTGCTCACGGATTTTCTAGGTATTGCGAATAGCTTGCGTAGGAACTTTAATAGCCATTTATAATGCACTCTCAGCAACAAAGAAATCTGATCCAAATTCGTGAAAATATCCTTAGATTTTACCGATTTATCTATAAGCGTCATTTCGCCCAGTCTTTCGAATCTCATGAACCATCTCAATTCTGTTCTTAGTTCAACGTACTCTTCGATATTTACATTTACATCTTGTAAAATCGTGTTGATGCAAGAATTCGCTTGTTCAAGGAACTGCACGAAATGTGTTATGAGTGGTTGGTTTTTCAATTGTGAAAGTAGTTTGCCTGTAAATGAAAAAAAAACATGTTGATGTAATATCCAATAAAAATATCGTATCTTGAAACGAAAAGTGACAACTAAAAAGTGATAAATAATAAATCGACAAGTACTCTTACAAAATAATACAAATTTTTATTTATAAGGTAAATTATTTTATACTCTGAATAAAATTAATTTTACTGCTAACAGAAATTTAGAAATGAAATACTGTGTTAATTATTAGCGATCGAAACAATATGGAAGCAGTATTTAAAAGAGATTGTTTAATATTTTTTATATTGATATATTAATCGAGCTAAACATTTGCATGATTCGATAAGTATGATATAAATATACATGTGTGAGCAAAACGAAATAATTCAATTAAATTATTTAATCGGCGTTTGATTAATTTTTGTTAGGTGTGATGAACAAAGAGATAAGAAAAATGGGAAACGAAAACTAATGTGAAGCATAAAAGATTTCAATCAACTTCACAAGTAGGTACGCAGACAACACAAAGTTCAAAATCGAGATATAAGACGTCTTAAAGACATTTAATAGACGTTTTAAAGGCATCCTTACAAGAGATATCTAAAAGATGTCTTATGTCTCAATTTTAGACTTTGTGTTGTCTGGGTAGTATTCAAATTACAATCTCCAAACTGATTGAGCGTGGTACTAATACATCATTCCGGACCGGATCACAAAATTTTACAACGCATTGATAAATAATGGATTTTTTTTATTGTTGATACATTGTTGTATTATTATTGTAGTGCTTTTACAAAGTTGAAATTTGCAGATCCAGTTAAATCAAGCAATTATATAAAGAAGTCAGAAACATATTTCCGCACAACTTTAATGTCGGCAACATATGACAAAGTAAAAGTAAATAACTAGATTGTCGAGCAGTGGATCAGCTTTAGCATAGATAATATGGTCCAACCCAACAAAAATTTACTCGTTAAGTTTCATTTTATTCTGAGACTTTGTCAGAAAATGAAAGATCTTGGATGCTAGCGTTTTAGAAAAGGACCATACCAGTCATAATTAATACAGACGCTATTTTTTGCAAGAAAATGTACTAGTTCTCATAAAAAATACAGGAAAATTGTAGAACATTTCAAACAGTGAGCTCACATAGTGAGCAAACAGCTATTTATCTAAATGTACAGAAATTTGTGGTGTTCCATGCAACTTTTTAACACAAGATGTAGAAATCAAATGGAATAACACATTCCTCGTATTGGAACGTCTTGTTGAACAAAAAAATGCCACTCCATCCTCAATCTTTAGTGAAAGAAATTCTTGATAACGAGGAATGGAAGCTAGCTACAAATTTTTATGAGACAACTTTAGTTATATCTAGCAATGACGCTTGTTTCTTTAATTATTTTTCTCATTAAAGATATTAAATGGTAATTAAACGACAAAAGATACGAAAAGAATTATATTATTTTTAGAATAAAACATAAACTATTACAATCTTAAAAAAAATGATTTGATTACGTTAAAAACTCGATACTATTAATAACTGCGACTCTTTAAAATCCCAGATTTAAAACTATTTATCTAACATCCGGTGAAATCGAATTTGTAAAAAAAAAAAGAAATATATTTTTTATCCAAAAATACGTTATGTGATCAACAAGCTCAATCAGTGTTTGAAGAATGATGATTGTGTGGTATAAACTTCTTAAGATTCAAAAGAAGCATCGAAAACAGAGTTCGTAAAAAGTTCATAATAAATTTTTAAATGAAAGGAGAGATATAAAGAAAAGTATTGTATCTGGAAGATTTACAATCTTTTTCAAGAAAGACTCCATACTTAATCGAAATAACGATATATACCGATATTTTAACTCAAATAAACAATTATGGAAGGCGGGAAATAAATTATCAGTTCTCTCGATTAGCATAGCAAATAAACAATTATTTAGTTTTGCTGGACAAATTTTTGCACAGTACCTTGTTGAACATAATAATTACACATACATTTCCATGTAAATAATAAATATTATAAATATTAATTATAAATATATTATAAGTATTGTTATATAAATGCTGAAAAACTATTATTTTTGTTACAATATAAGGTTATTTACAACTCAATTACAATTACTTGAGTGCAATAAAGCAATATACAAAGCATTTATTATTTAAAATTTATATTTAATGTAAAATGTTCCTTTTAATTTTCCACCGAGATGTGATTTTCTAAAAAAATTGTTTAAAAAAGATTTCTTTTCATGTTTTGAAATTTTATTATTATTAAGATAATTGTGACACTACTAGTGTAATAACATATATGTAATATAACGTACTACAGATTATATTGTGATAATAAAATTGTAATACTAGGATGGTAATATGTGTGTAATTATTTCAATAAAAGAATATTAAATTATAATATTTATGAAGAATATTTACAAAGAAGGAAAAAGTATATTGGTAATAAAATATTAATATATTTGTACACGCCTATACACATGGTTTTTCTTGAATTCCCATAAAAGTTTCGGTTTTCGGTATTTCGGCCGAAATTGAAAAAGATTGTTTCGAACGGGCTCTTAGTTTATTCATCATAGTTTGATCTAAAATATTTACCGTCATTTACAACGCTGGAGTACAGCTTCACGGATATCACATCTTTGTTCTCCAATATCTCCGTCGTCCTCTTTTGCGACATATCTCCTTTCAGGATCATACCATGCGCATATAGTAACAGCAATAATTTATTCGTGCAAGTGTCGCTCGTATCACATGACGTCGTTGTTCCAACGAGCTGCCACAAATCCCATGGTAACGAACTTTTCGCGTTTGCAGATTCGTAGCGAAACGATGCGATTACTTCCGCCATTAACGCGCTCTTCGCCTCAAGATCGTCAAGTATCGCGTTTTCTTGCAGCATCTTCGAGATCCACTCCTTTCTGAGTGGCGCGTCGTCTCGCGAGGATTGCTCGTAGAAATTCAAGAGGAGATACGGCAACACACCGGCAACGTTAACGTCCAACGTAAACTTTTCATCCTCTTTAAGACCGCAGAAGTCGTTCAACGACCTCGTTGTAACATTTCCTCCGTTATTTCCTGAATCAGATTTCAGAGAGGATTCGTACATCTTAACAGCGGCGCTCAGCAATAAGCCTTGCTGTCTGATTATAACGAGCCTGGAATTGTCTTGCAAATTCTTCACGCTCCACGTGGCGGCGTCCAAATCGATCGCGGAGATTTCTTCATTATCGCGCGCGACACGTCGCTCGACAGTTTCATCGATCAGGTAAGTCAGATGTTCTCGGAATCGCGGATCTCGCGACGGTCTTGGTTTTACATAGACGTCAACACACGCGTGCCTGATCGATTGCCCCGCGGGGAATCCGCGCAGCGATCGTTGCTTCACCAGGAACGCGGTGTGCAACAAATCGACCGGGCTGACTCGATCCACGGCGACGATCTCCTCCGTCATTCTGTCGTAGATCTCAAGTAATGCGTCGCGATGCGCGGTCTTCGTAATGCCGGCGTTGAACAACAGCGATTTGAAGTCAATTAGATCCTCGCCGACGTTTCCGTTTGAGCCAAACATATAAATCTCGACTCCTCTGTTACGCATAGCCCTAAAATCGTCGATCGGTTTGTATTGCGCGATAACAATAAATTATTGTATCGATATAATTAATACAAAATAATATAATTACAATATAATTGCCCCGGATTTTAAAAATAATTATAAATCTTTATTGCGATTGTAAGAGTACGTTAATTGTATGTATTTTTACGACGTACCTATAATTATTATCACATAATTTTTAAACGTTATATTGTAATATAAAATTGCTATTTTGCAATGTTTTTATTCCATCTTGATAAATAAATTTGCATAGGGAATACGTAAGAATTTATGAACTGATATAATATTTTCAGAGCAGGATAATTTAATTTTATAACTTTTGCGGATGATTGATCATAATATGTATAAGATCGTATGATAAAATTACTGGCTCGCCGGCAGCCGAGAGATAAATCATACCTGGAAATTTCACCGTATCGGGGATCCATGGTGAGAAATAGGCGGAAATTTTCGTGCGGCTTGATAGTAACGACATTGCCTTCGCTATCAACGCCTCGTTCGCCGATACTGAGAACACCGTTCGGCTCTAACAATCCATTAAGCCTGTCTAATACAGCGGGGCTACATAGATTAACCTGGTCGATGAGCAGCCAAGTACCGTCTTGCAAGCACTAAAAGACGACTCCGTTATTATATTGCTCGGAATAAAATAAAGTTTTATCTTCATTTAGCGGTTTTGCTCTGGTTGAAAAATGAGACTCTATAATATCGGTATCTAGCTTTTCCGGATGCATAATAGATCAAAATTTCGAGTGCATAATAGATATAATTGCGCTAAAAAAAATTTATATAATAAATATAGTTTATTTAAGACATTTCGGTATATTGTCGAATTGCAGACTAATCAGATAAATATTCACGTTTTATTTTAGCTTGATGCCTAATTAATAAAAAAGAATTGCAAAAAAAAACGGACGCATATAAATGACGAAATAGTTTTGGCACGTTGGAAAAGTTTTAGAAACTGCAATTTTTGACTCTATTAAAACTTTTGCAATACTTACATTATCGTGTGTCAAGGTTAAAATATTGAGAAGGGTAGCAGGTAAGTAAAGTTCGAAGTGGCGTAACTTTATCGCTCGCGCTACGTAAAATATGATAAACCCCCGTAAAGAATAACGTATCGGAGTTGCTTAAATTAAGTTCGGGGACTGCGAAGTATGGAGAATAATAATTTAAAGCAACTTTGTCAGAATGTTTCCTACACGCGCATACGTTAGCTATACCTTATGCAGTACCGTTATACAGCGCGTACTCCGTAGAGTAAGTTCATAAATTCGAGCAATGGAAATGTAGCTCTCCCGTGATAAGAAAATATATAAAATCGTGTCATTGATGGAATACCTTCACTAACACACTATCCACCCATTCGAACTTTCCGCCGGCATTCAGGCATTTATCCTGCTCGACGAAAATCGACAAGTTCCTCAACCTCGAATCGATATCTCGCAGCTCCGACTCGCGAGAAGGCTCCCAAAGCATCAGCGCCGACACCAATTTCGACAATTCCTCGATTTTATGTAAGAATAGCTTGGTTTCCGCGGCCATTGTTCTACCGGCGACGTTTTCATCTGACGGCAAACGGATGGCGAGTGGATGAGATTTTCATTTCAATAAAGAAAATCAGGCTTCGGTCTCTTTGTCGTTGGAGAGAAAGCCTCTTCTGGCGATAATCATGTTTTACTTACCGAATAAGTGTCGCACTTGCTCCAGGCGTTCATGAAGCTCGGCAACTTGCTCCAATTTGTCGATAGTTATCTTCGTTCGCAAACTCTCGATAAGTAAAGTCGCTACGCGCTCGAATAATTGTTCAAGATGCCGATTATAGTCCGTCTGAAACAATAAGAAAAGACGCTTGATTGTTATCATAATTAAACTATAACAAGACAATTTATTTATATGTAGGGGAGACCGGGGCTCGTTGACACAAGTTGGCACTGCGTTCCGTTTATGTATTTATGATTAAAGAAACAATGAAAAAGTTATCGTAAAATATCTCTTTTATAATATAAGCTCATTTCTCTAAGTTGCATTTAAATCAAACAAGTATTTTAGTAAAGAAAGAGCAAAAATCTGATTTGAGAGGAGGTAAGTAAATTTTCGAGTGTTTCAAAATTCGTATTAAAATTCGTATTAATGTTCTTCAGCTGGAGAGAGAAATCTAAGTGATGTATTATTAGATAAAAGAAAGGTTTTTGTTACTATACATGTTATTTTGAGTAATAACCATAATTTATTATAATAAAATGATTTGAATTATATGTCTGTAAGAATGGGGCACGTTGGCTCATATTTAAAGTAAGCTTACAAGTTTAATTTACTATAAGAGGTGTGTAACCATTCAATTACAACATAATTAGGATAAAACGTTTTTTATTTAATATTTCTGTATTAAAATAAGCTATATCTGAAATAGTTTACATTTATTATTCTCAAACAGCATTTTGCCATTTGATCATTAGAAAATAACTCTAAAAGATGCGATCTTTTTTTTAAGAAATACATATCTGTGATCTGTTTTTCTTCTATTAATTTAATATGGAGTTTATCACTTAAGTAACTCACACTGTGGTATGCGTCAACTTACCCGATTATCGGGTTAAATTGGCTACATTGCAGCATGTTTGTATTTCACTTATTACAAAGAAATTATACAGTATACAGAATCGTCCCTGGCATGAAAATGTAGAGAAAGGTGTATTCTGCCATATAGTTTAATTATAATAAATAGTTGTTTAAAAACAGGAATGTCTAAATTGTGAAAACTGTGCCAATGAGCCCTGGTCTCTCTTATAAATCGCACAATTTCACTTCACTTAGATAAAAATTGGGAAGGAAATAATAACGATAAATTGATTTACGTAAACATAATTTCAATCAAAGTGAACGAAATAAATTTTGTTTAATCGCATTTACTGGTACAGAATCAGAACAAAGCGATGGAGAACGTAATAATAAATTATCGTTTAATTAAACAATATGTTATATGAGCTGAACGTGTGTTTCTTTAATTGTTACATGTTTTCGAATTCTACTTTCCATCGTGCTTTATACATTTACATACGCATAATTTACCTATTCTAATTTTGGATCAAGAGCGGCATACGAACCGCCAAATCGAAACAACGAGAAAATCGAACGAGAAAAATTTGTAAATAGTTAATTTGTAAAAGTTATTTTTAAAATGAAGGAATATTCGACATTTCTTACGGTTTTATTTTACAATAAGTTAAACATTTAAAATAAACATTTAAAACGATAACACGGCTTAGTACGTCACCTTTAATTATGCGGCGTACACAAAGGTCAACGCACTATCAATCGCATGCACTGAAAAAAATAATCTTGCAATTATAGCGAGAATTATTTAGGTACGAAAAATTAGCTAAAACGGATATAAGTGATTAGTATAAGCACTGCGATACGACATATGTTTTGTATTTAATCAATATAGA